TTATCCAGCGTGACAGTGTGCCTTTAGCATGTAGGCCTTTATCCAGCGTGACAGTGTGCCTTTAGCATGTAGGCCCTTATCCAGCTGGGAGGGAACAAAAACCCTGTTATAGATCATGATCTCTGAGCCTCCTTTGCTATGTTGAGTTTTTTTTATTCAGCTTGTTGGAAGCTCTTATCGATCCTGGGGAGCACATGTAAATTGTAACCCCTCCCTCTACTGTAAGTTGCTTTATGTAAAATTGTCTGATGAATATCTGTCAATATACACTTTCCCTTTACTTCGCTGGAGATACACGTGAAATCTGGTGATCTGTACAACTACTACAGTATTTTGTTCAGTTGTTTTGTTGTCAACGCATATGCAAAAGCCCTTCGGATCATTCCGTATCTCCGCTGCACTTGCAGCCACGACCTTCGACCCCACGGCACTCCCACCCTCAGAAGTCACAGCTTGAACAACCTGCTGGCACAGAAGGATGAGAACGACCCGGCCGGGCAGAATCGCAACGGAGTCCCACCTCCTGCTCCACCTCTAAACTCCAGTTCGGCAAACTTGCGTCCGACCACGCCCACTCCGGATAGGAGGGCGGGGCCTCCCTCAGACAACAAGGTGGGTGGGGACTTCATTAAAAAAAAATCTGCATGTATTGTGTCCTTGGTGGCCTTATTTGGCCAAGTACTATGACCTGTTCAGTTACGTGGGAGTTATTTTGGCAAAAAAACAGAAGGCCAGGCCCCCCTAATAATCACCCCCCCGCCCCCACCAGCCATATGGCATCTCAGACACTTATAAGCCATGGAGTCTTAGCAAAAAGGGACACCTTTAGCATGAGCAACATGGTTGCTAAGGCTAAATTCAGCTCAGTTTATGTTATCAAGGTGCCATATGGTGACAGTAGCTCAACAAGTAGAGTGGTGTACTAACAGATCAAAGGATGTAGCTTTGATTCCCAGCGTGTGCATATAAATTGCATCCCTTCCCTCTACTGTAAGTCACATCGGATAAAGGCATCAGGTCAATGTAATGACACTGAATGCTAATGCTGCTCGTTTTGCTTCCCCGATGAGATAGTCTGCAACCCTGATGGGATTGTGAGGGCGGTGTGGCATGGGCACTGACGTCTTTGTGTGTGTGTGTGTGTGTGTGTGTGTGTGTGTGTGTGTGTGTGCTTTTCCAGAAAGCGCCGGAGCACGCCCTCCGTCCGGAGCTGTTCCCCAGGTGAGAGTCGGAGCCACGAGCCGCCGCGTGGTGACCGTGGCGGAAATGAGGGCCGGATCGTCCTGGTCCGCCGCTGTCGTGACGCCGCTCTTCTCTCCTGCAGGGGGACCAACCCCTTTGCCACGGTGAAACTCCGCCCCACCACCACCAACGACAGATCGGCTCCCCGGATCCACTGACGTGTCGGCAGGCGGCCGTGCAGCCGGCATTCCGCTCCGGTGAAACCAGGCAGAACGGGGCTGCGGGTGCCGGAACCGGGGCTGGCCGTCCCCGGGATTTTCATATCATTTCTAAAAGTAGGCAGACGCAGTGAAAGGGGTTATATTTTTAGAAACGGTGTTAGATGCATGGTCTGGATATTGACGTCACGGGCCTGATGCCGTCCCCTGTGTTTTACCCATCTGGAAACGCACCATTTTCCGGTCTGTGATGCAAAACCAACCGAATAAAAGTTTTATTCTGTCAGCCGACCTTCCGTTGTTCTTCATTCCCCAGCCAAGGGACACAGCCGGTGTTTTCAACATCACATTTGTTTATAATTAACTGTAATTTTTTTTGTGCATTAATTACATTATGACCCTGGGTTAGCGCTTAGGGAAAGTGGGTGTGCGGATGGATTATTGTGAGTTTGCAGCCTGGCAATTTAAATTAAAATCGATAAACCCGTTTGAAAGTGTAAACCTTACGCAGGAGTAGAGGAGTGGGTTCTTTGTAGTGTTATTCTCTGCGTGCTTAAAAAGTCTTTAAAGATGTGTCATGTGACCACAAAATTCTGGGGGGAGGACACTGCAGAGGAATAATAATCGGGTGTCATGGGCCGTATCTGTTCCCTGCTATCCTGTCCCCCCCCCCCCCCCCTTTGTGGGGGAGGGGGCACTCGTCAGGTGTATATAGTTATCCCCCTGGGCGTCCCTCCAGGGGACATCGACACTTCACAGCCCTCCTTAGCAGAAAGCAGGTGTTGATTTACGGCCAGCCCCCCATGATTGATAGAGCGGTCCTCCGTGTGACCCCCCCCCCTGCTGATGAATTTTCCAGCCCCTTGCTCCAGGCCGGAGAAAATGCTGAAACGAGGCAGACCAGTCGCACGGCGATGCGTTAGCATCTGTTTCGCTTACGCTCTTTGCATTTCACCTTCTTACACAGCTGGAGATGAACTGGTCCAGCTGAGAGCTTTACTTAAGGGTACAACGGCAGTATTCCCCGAGGAAGCTGTCACATTTCCTTCCCTCGGGCCCCATGTCCGCCGCTGCTGATGTGAGCGTCGCCGTCGGCGACCGAATAAAGCAAGACAGCATGGGCCGTATACACAAGGCATTCTTTTTTTATTTCTCGTTTTTGCTCTTTTCGCTTTCTTTTTTGCAGCTTGACCTCGTCGTCTTCTTACAGCGTAACCGAGGGAGGGGGGTGGAGGTTGGGTTGGGGGAGGGGGGTTTGTGAATGAGTGCATAAATGAGAATTAGTGAGAGACAGTAGTACAGGCGATGTGGATGTGCTGTTTACATATCTACTCATTCTTAGTATGAAACAGATATTTGAAAAAAAAAATAAAGAGGTACAACAACAGTATATTTGTATAAAAAGGAAAATAAATAAGGTGAGTGAGGCCCCCCCTTCTTTGCCCCCCTCCCTCCCCCTGCTGTAATGCATCTCTTCCAGCTCGCTGTAGTGGGCGAAGCATTGTGCTCCATGGGGGTAGGGAGGGGGTCACGTGAGGAGCGGTGGTTTGGGTGGGGGGGGGGGGATAGAGGGGTGTGGAGAGAGCGAGAGTCGGCCGGTGGGGCAAAACCCCCTACTGATGCACCAAGGCCTCGAACTCTGGAAAAGGCAAAGAGGAGATGTGAAAGTGGGGGGTGGAGAAAGGGAACATGGCCATCGTTAGCACTGAACTACCTCAACACAGTTTCAGTCAACATGTACACAACCAGTCACCACGTACACGACCAGTCACCACGTACACAACCAGTCAAAAGCTTTTGCACACCTTATGCATTGGAAAGTTGAGTGAACAACTATAAATGAAAATATAAGTCAAATAAAACTTATGAAGGATTATAACATGGAAAGAGTATGTAATGCATGGCTGACATCCTATTAACTGTTTGTGTGGTGATGGCAGAGTCAAATTCTAGGCTGTACTCTAACTTTAAATGCACAACTTAACAGTTTCCTCCCATGAATCAGAGCAGTATTTAATGTCCCTTGTAGAAAGGATGCCTCAGATTTCCTTTGTTGTTATTACTGCTAGAGGAGGTTACTTTCATGAATGAAAGATATGACATTTTCTTGCTAATAAAGGTACTCAAATGGTGAACGGACTGTAAATTTATTTGTTCGCCAAAAATATTGAGTGTATTTTTAGTAAATGTTAAGTGAGTAACGTGCAAAAGTAGAAAATGTCAGTGTGTGCAGAAACTTTGACTGTCGGTGGACCCTCCATGACGATTGTGCAGGGAGGCTGGGAATCACTTCTTATGAGTTCTGCTTCCTGACCTCACCTTACATCTGTATGTGTGACATAAAACCACCAGCCAGTCTGCTTTTTATTTGCGGAAACGCGAAGGCAGACGTTTGCGTCGGTGGGACGACACGTCAGCCGCTCGCCGCGGACTCTCTTACCTTCAGCGCCGATCTTCCCGTCTCCATCCTTGTCCGCCAAGGCCAGGAATGCTTTGGTTTCTTTGTCGGTCAGGTCCCTGCCATCTGAGGCGAAACCTTTCAGCACGAACCTGGAGTGTGGAGGATGGGGGTGGGGGGGTTAAGGCACAGGATACTGTCGTTCAGGATGCAGGAAGCCAATGAATATCTGTTTGCCCCGAGCATCTGGAGATGATGTGCTCTGGAGTTGACAGACCAAAATGAAATGTGTTCTTTGCATTTAACCCATATGTAAGGGGGCAGGGGGCAGCTGATTCAGCACCCAGGGAGTAGTATCTTGCTCACAGTACCCCAGTGGTACTTTGCTGGTTGGGTATTCAAACCATCAATCCTTCAATTATAAGTACACTTCCCAAACCATTAGGCCACCAATGTGTTTGGTGATTTGTCTCATTTCGTCTGTTTTGTCTCATTGTGTCTGTTTTGTCTCATTGTGTATGATGTTTTGTCTTATTTTTGATTTGCCGTGTCTGGCTTATGTCTGCTGATATTAAATTGCTATTGGAGACACAAACATCTGCTATTCAGCTACCTCTCAGTGGTGGCAACTCTTGCCATACTTTAGTTGATAGCGAGGGGCGGCGTGGCGGCGTGGCGGCGCAGTGGTTAGCGCTGCTGCCTAATGGCAAGAAGGTCCCGGGTCCTTCCTGTGTGGAGTTTGCACGCTCGACCCGTGTTAGTGTGGGTCTCTGCCGGAGGCTCCGGTTTCCTCCCACAGTCCAAAAGTGTGCAGGGCAAGTTGGTTGGTGAGTCTAAATTGGCTGTGAGTGTGTGCCCTGTGATGTGTGTGAGTGTGTGCCCTGTGGTGTGTTGGCGACTGCCCAGGGTTGGTTCCTGCCTGCGCCCATTGTTCCCAGGATAGGCTCCGGTCTCCCCCACAACCACAGCTGGGATTAAGTGGTTATGGTGATGGATAGTTGATAGCAGTGGGGGTGTATGTGCTGCGGTTGTGTGTTCGCACGACACTCTTTTCCCATAATGCCCACTCACTTCAGCTCCTCCTCCTCGATGAAGCCGCTGTTGTCCACGTCCAGAGCTTTGAAGGCCTTCTTCACGTCCTCAGATGACTTGGCCTTCAGACCCACCATGTCGAAGAACTTCAGAGGGTCAAAGGTATCGGCAGCTGCATAGACGGACACAGTTGCGGTCATGACGACGAAACGACAGAAACGTGAACCCCGTGGTCACTGAAAGATCTGAAACCTGTACATGTATTTATGCTTTTTAATCCTGTGATAAGCAGCTCTCTGAGGCCTGAGAGAAAGTGGGATTTTGTGGGTGCTAAAATGATAACAATTATGTTAGCTGTGCAGGAAGGACTACCTTACTGTGATGAAAGTGTTTCTGATTTCTCTGTAAGGAAGGAGTTATCATAAACCTCATTATAATCACTGATAATTATTGTTGCGATTTCAGTTCTATAGCATTCAGACAGACTCCAGAGAAAGGCCTTAGTATGTGAATGAATAGCCTCATTCCCTTGCTCTCCCATGTGACACCCGACATCGTCACCCATCGTCATCACTGTGGCTGGCCGGCTCCAGCGGTATCTCCACCTCACCCTTGAAGGCATCCAGAGCCTTCTTAATGTCTTCAGCTTTCAGGAGGTCCTTCATGGCCATCTTGGCGGCTGGTGGAGGGAGGAGAAGGAGAACAGGAAAAGGAGGAACAGTCAAGAAGGAGGCAAGAAAGCAGGGTCCTGTCTCAATCCGGGACAGTTAAATAAAGGGGACCTTGGTGGCCTAGACTTTCCATTTTCCATTCCCTTGAGGAATGTGGCCCCCCTGCTCTCACCAGTGACTCTGCATGTACATGATCTGAACATTTCAATTCACATCCCTGGACCAGACACCCGCTTTGTGACTCATTCTCCTGGATTATAGTTTTTCGCTGAGTCTGAAATACCGCCTTTGGTCACACTCCAGACGCGGAGCTTGTGTCTTCCATACACGGCGTCTCCAGTGTGCAACCCCCCCCCCCACCTCCCCCCACCTTGCTCAGACTTTTTTTAGTTTACTCTTGAAAGTCAAGCTATATCCACCCCTTGGCCTGGTTCACAAAAGATTTTGAATCGACCCTTCCCCTTCCAGAAACAGCCAATCCCCTTCCTCCCCCTCCTTCCCCCCCAGGCAGTTTCTGAAGCTGGACATAACAGTTGGCCTTAGGTATGAGAACAGTGGGAGGGGGGGGGGCACAGACTGGCCAGCCACTCAGAAGCTACGCCGCCCATCCATCCACCTGTTGATGCGTTTATGCTACAGGGGCCTCAGCTGGCAGGTGTGTGTGTGGGGGGGGGGGCATAGCATGGACTGTTGTCCCACTCAACAAAGGACATGTTCGCTGTGACAGCACCCTCTAGAGGCTGGGGCATTTTTTAAATTTTATAAAGTTTTCTACGGTGGTGTACTGTAACTCCGCACAAACTTCGGCTGCCCCAAAAACGTTAAAGAAGCATTCTGGGTAATCACAGCTGTCCTCTCCTGCCCCCCCCCCCCCACCCTCATGTTTATGGGTTTTGTAGCTGGGGAGGGCTTCTTGTCCAAATAAAGGAAGCATATCCATGTGTCCATGTCATATCCCTCACAGAAGCTGAGGTTACACCCATCAGTCTCCCATCAGGTCCTTTTTGGAAAAGCCGCTTTGTCTGGCGGAGACGCATCTCCGTAGAATTAACCATAGCTCGCTGAGTGTCCCCATGTCACTTTGAGAGTGAGGTTTCGCCTTTATTCACGACATCCATTTGGTGACGAGGAGATCAAATTGGAGGACAGACCTCAGGGACCCACAGACGGTACACAGACATTTTTGCTCCCTCCCAGCTCCCTGCCTACCAGGAGCAAAAATGTGGACCGACTGTGGGCCCCCAAGGACTGGATTGGGAAACACCAGAGAGAAAATGCAGTGGTGCTCCACGACTGGGATCCGGTTACCTGAGGCGGCATGAATAGGCACCGATCGAGGAGCTGGATACTGCTGTTGACATAAAATATTACGGACACAATTCACTGCAGCTGTAATGCGCAATAAGCCAGCTGTCCATACCATTCAATACAGCATTTGTCAGAAGCAGAATGACAGCCACCTGTCTTTGGTTTTCTATTGTATCCCATCAGAATTGATCTGAAACTCAAATATGAATAAATTTCACATTTTTCATCTTTAAATATTTTGCCTGTACAGCACTTCCCATTTCTACAGTGGCTTAAAAAATATCAAAGCAATACCAAGAAAACTGATCCTCCATCCTACAAGCACCCAAGGACGTCCCAACAGCTTTAAGGCCTGGAGTCAGTGTATAATCAGAGGTGCATGACTGTGCTGCCCACTGGCCATCAGCAATGCAGGTTAACTGAATACAGCCATCAGAAGCAGATAAGTCAGGCAACGGTCCAGTGTGTCCTTACAGTACAACCTTGATTTGGAGCTGAAGTCCAACATTCTGTCCAAGATATATCATTAAACTCCTGAGCACCAGGAGGTAAGAAATTAAGATCCAGAAAGTACAACTACAGACCAAGATTTAGTTTGAACCAACAATTGAGCATAAAGAGTTCTTGGTTGAAACCTAATCTTGGTCTGGAGTTCTACTATCTGGATCTTACTCTGCTCATGTTACTACCAAAACACATGCAGCGTTTCCTGGTTAGCTGAGAGTTACCGGCACAATGGGTAACGAACGCAAATGAGAACATTGGAACACTCAGAACCCTCATCAAGAAGACGGTTTTGGCTTCTAGCAGGACCATCGAAGTAACTCTTCCGAATTTAGTGCTTTTGCCGAAGATGTAAATACACAGGATGACATGTTCGGCCACAATGATATAAGAACAATTCACAGGCTCCCCTGCACTGTGCTTACAGTTTTAATCCTGACTTTGTGAGGACGGGCATGGATACCCTGGCAGATTTAGGGGGCCCAGCATTGGGGCCCAGTGAGTAAAATCTACTGAGGAGACCCCCCCCCTCCCCCCTCCCCTAGTTGGCAAAATGTCCCCTAGGGGGGCCCAAGGTGATATTTGGTCAGGAGGCCCCAAATTCCTAGCTACACCCCTGGCCCCGCATCCACATGCCCCACCTGCCTGGCGCTGGTGGGCCTTACCTGTGTTATGGGGGGGTACGACCACCGGAGAGAGAAAGAGAAGCGAGAGCGAGGGGCCGCAGAAGGAGGTCAGGAGGCTGGCCGAGGCGGAGGTGCGGGGGCCTCTCCCCACTATTTGTCTTTTATAGCCTCACTGCAGACTCTATTTTAGGACAAAAAATGGGAGGCCGTTCGCCCCCCAGTGTCGAGAGGCTATGTGGCCCATTGGCCGTATCACTTTCTCCACTACATGGACAAATCAATGGCTATTAATAATTGCCCCCCCCCAGTGCCCATTCTCCCACTCTGTGTCTTTTTCCATCTCTCTCTCTCTTCCACTGTTCACCCATCTGGGCTCCTTCGCTGCCCACATCGCTGCTTGCTCCTACCTATGCTCCGACACCCCCCGGACTCCGCCCCCCACCCAAACCCGCGTCCTTTTTACGAGTTTCCGTTTTGGCTGGCTTTTACGGGTACCCTGTCTGTGCCAGGATGCTGCGCCCTTTCGTCCATTGCTTGCCCCCCCCCCCCCC